AAAGTTGGGGAGGGCTAGCCTCCCACTAGTTCGAATTAAGTGGCTACACAGCCCTTAATTCAAACTACTTAATTCGAACTAGGCGTTAGTCCTCGTGGAATAAGGTTTACCTAGTTCGAATTAAGCACTCCGCTAGTTCGAATTAAGTTCAAACTAGCGGTTTGCCTGTGTAGTGCCTATCAAAGTTAATTTGAACTAATGTCTGTTAGTTCGAATTAACTTTGTTTTGTAGACATACCCTCAGAGCATAGTCAATCTGTGGAACTCCATGCCAGAAGATGTTGTGAAGACTAGGACTTTTAACAGGGTTCCAAAAAAGAGCTAGATAGAATCACGGAGGTTAGGTCCATCAATGGCTATTAGCCAGGGTGAGTAGGAATGGCGTCCGTAGCCTCTGTCTGGAAATGGATGACAGGAGAGGGCTTACGTGATGATTACCTGTTGTATTCCCTCCCTCTGGGGTATCTGGTATTGGCCACTGTCGGCAGACAGAATACTGGGCTAGATGGACCTTTGGTTTGACCCAGTACGGCTGTTCTTATGTTTCTGCAAAATCACCCCAACAGAACTACACATGAGTAAACTTACATACGTGCGGAATAGGAACAAGAGTTTAAAGCCACACTCAACAAGTGAGTGTAGGATGGGGATTTAATCCATTTGCTTGCTTTTCTTCAGTCATAAGGAGGGATAGATAAGAACTGTCTGGGTGGAAAGGAGCACCCCTGGATGGTGGAATGGTCTCTAGAGAACCATTTCAAGAAACTTGAAGTATAAGAGCCCTGTGGCTGCTTTAATTTGTGCTGAGAAGCAGTGTAGCCAAATATTAGCCCTAGGATCAGGGAAGAGGGAAAAGTTACTTAGAGCTACCTTTGCCTCTTTCTCTAATGTGTCTCAAGCCATGCCTAGTGCAACTGACAGTTGAGCCCATTGTGTGCACAACTTGATGGTTCTAACTCATTAATTTTTTTGCATTATGTTAATGGTAAGAAACTAAATCAACTACATATCAGACACACCTATGTGTTTTAAATAGTCTAAAGAAATAATAACACAATGAACCTTCACCATGGTTAGCCTCTATCAGAAAAAAATATGCATCTTTAAATTGCCTGCATAACTATTTACTTGATAGATGGGCCATTAAACTCTATCAAGTTGACAATCTGGTTTTTAAAAACTCCCTAAATAGGTATTTATACTGCAGACTCTAGTAATTTTGAGAGCTGTTTGAAGCAGTTAGACCAATGAATCACATTTAAAACACCTAACTAAGCATTTGCACGAGCTTATAACAGCTATGACGTGACAACTCTCATCCATTCCTATGAAACGTTTTCATTACTTTGATGAAAAGAGAAATATCACTGAAAAAAATGTAAGGAAATTAAAACAACTTTTCCCTCCCCTCAGTTATTTAAAATGTAAATAACATTCATGCTGTGATATACGCTAGTGAAAAGTATGATGTGGAATAGAAAACTGAATACCAGATTTTTTTTGTTCTGATTGTATTCCAAATCTTTTCTGATTGTATTCCAAATTTTAAAATTGGAACTGGAACATATTTTAAAAGAAATTCTTAATTCACACAATGAATTAAGAATTTAGCAGCAATGAGCCTGCTAAAAATCTTAAGGGAGAAAAAATGTTTCAAAGTGAGATTTTTCTTGGTTATTTAAAACTAGAAGATTTACCTGGCGTGGCTTGGGTCCTTAACTCAATTAATTTTTGGGTTTTGGAGTATATGTTTCATTTAAACCACTATTCTGGGGTGGGGCTGGAGATGAAGGTCTCATTATTCAGGCTTCCCTGGAGAGAAGGGACTACCCCAACCATCTCACCACAGCAGCTTGGATTTGGGTGACAAGCACCTCTCCATGGCTGCTGCAGCTTCTGCTGGCACAGACAGGGGAACATGTATGTCCCCCAGCTGGGGCAGATCCAGGTTCATCTGCCCCTACTGTTCCCCATCCAGAATGAGGAATGCAGCAAACTGTTCACTTTCTCCTCACTCCCCGACTAAGGAGAACAGTCAGCAATGTTCTTGTATGAATTGGGGACCTGGAAAGTGGGAGGCTGGGGGCAGAGGCAGTCCCAGAAGTGCGGAAGGCCCCAGCCAAACCTTTCATAGGTGATTCTGTCTCTTGGTGATTCTGTCTCTTTTCCGTATGATTTTATGAGAAACAATCCCATTCCAGGCACATCCCATTTTCTTGACACAATCAAGCCCTTACCTTCCTTCAAATTATAAGAGGAACCTTTATACCAAATTTGGTGGGCCAACTCTTACCATTTAGGAGAAGTTCTTAAACAAACAGACAGATAAACAACCTCTCTCAGGGTAGGTCTATACTGCAACACTATTTTGAAATAACTTAGTCCATGTCTACACAGCAGGCAGTTATTTTAAAATAGTGTCAAAATACTCTCAAGCTGGAGGACTTCTTACTCTGACTCTTGTAACCCTCATCGTATGAGGAATAAGGGAAGTCAGAGGAAGAGTGCTCTATTTTGAAATAAGAGCTGTGTAGAAGATTTCTATTTCAAAATAAGCTATTTTGAAATACGATACTCAATTGACTTAGCTCAATTTGCATAGCTTATTTCAAGTTAAGCCCTGCAGTGTAGATGGACCCTCAGATACATTGTAGATACAGTGTAAGACCCAATTTTGTTCTTGTGGAACTCTCGCCATTCATTTCAATGGAAGCAAAGAATAAGAGGCAGATTTCTGAATTTTTCCTAACAGTGTAAAATTAATAACCCAGACTGAAGCCTACCACCCATTAAAAGTGATGAAAGTTAAAGGCCTAACTTGCATAAATGCTTTTGAAAATACCCCTGTGTGACGATGTGCACCTTTAAGCAGATACCTTTACAAATCTGGTTCAAAGTGCTTGGAATGTATAATGTCCTTATGCTTTCTTATTCTTTGAGGTCAATGCAGTTCCATCCTCCCCACCCCCCCAAGTAAAATTAGAATGTCTTATTATAGTAAGGAAAAACAATTAGCCCAACTTCTATATCGGAAGTGATGCAAGAAAATGGATGTTCTTAGATGCTAAATTCTCCCTCACCAATTTAATTCTTGATGAGGTATTCTAGGCAGCTGCTCTCAGAAACTGGCACAAAGCTGCTTCAAGTGCTTTTGCACTATTAGAAGTGCACTTCAGTGGAAGTGGACTTCCAAGCAAATGAAGCTGAAAAAAAATGCATGCCCGGAGAGGTTGTTAACTCATGTCTTCAGTGCTGGCATCCCTTGCAGCTTCTTTGAAATACAAAGTGAAAAAGTAATGCAAACTACTAATCATTGAATGTAGAGCTTGAAACATTTTTAAAAGATCATAGGGTAATTTTTCCCTTCTTCATTTAGAGAACAAAATATTCCACTGGTATGAACTAATGGAAATGTTTGCAATAAATCATAAAACTAAATCTTTCTTAATGAAACAACCAGTTTAACCAATTGATCTTTCCTTTTTTATACCATAGGTGTGGCCAGGACTGACTGTGTTCCCTGACTACACCAACCCAGAATGTACCAACTGGTGGGTAGAAGAATGTAAGATCTTTCATGATAAAGTGAAGTATGATGGCATTTGGATAGTAAGTCATTTATACTTCTTTTTTAATAGGATGCTAGTGAGAGTTAGATGAAACATCTTTTCAATCTCATCTCTTTGTATTTCTCAATCTTTTATCTGAAGAATAAAACACAGAGTAATCCTGGCCCCAGAGATGCCATTGACTTTGATGGGGTCAAGAATGCATCGGATGTATTTGGCATAATTTATTCATGGATGTTAAACTTGATTTACCTCATAACTATTTACATGGGAGAGGAAGCTTCAATGTTTGAAAAATAAAGCACTATCCCTCCACAAAAGTATTAAATTAATAAAAGAAGGAGAGAGAATGAGCCTTTTGGCCTTTTAATAACACTTCCAAACTAGTGTTATAAGAATTACAATGCAAACCATTCCTGTTTAATAGTGAACAGTAAGTAGCATTGCATAGAAATATTTTCACCTTGAGTGAAAAATGTGATAGACCAATTAAAAACAACCTTTAATTGAACAAACTTAGTTTTTTATACTTACAGTCTAGGAAAGAGCAACTTTATCCCCAAAATAAACTCTGACTTCATTTGACATTCAGAAATACTTAAAGACTCTTTCTTTGATTATTTCATATTCCTGCATTCTGTTTTCTGAATACGCATGCAAACAGAATTTACTGCTAGTTATATTTCAGCACCCAAGATTCTGCTAAGTTTCTCATTTCATGAATGACCCAATGAAGGAGAAAAAAAAGAAAAGAAAAAGTGGAAGTAAAAGCAGTCAGGCTGACTGTTAATGTGTCTGTAGGTGTGGTAACAGAAAAGCAATGCTAGTCAATTCTATGTTTAAAGAAGAAAATACTTTCAGCTCCAGAGATTACTGGAAATTTGATTCCTATAAAACATTAAACAACAATTGTAATCTTTCTCTTCCTTGCGCTTAACAAGCTACTGTACTTCAGAGAAAAAGAGCCTAAGATGGATTGTAAATATGACCAAAGACCTTAAACTGTTGATTTCAAATTAGAATGGCCAACCAATGTTTTCTAAATCAACAAGTTATCACCTTTAAATTTTCTTGCAAATCATTTTAGCCAAATTTCTACTTGACAAATGGTATAGTTATTCAAACTGGAATAATGTACGTATTTGTGAATATTCACCAAGAGTTAGCACACTGCCAAGTTTATAAACCACCGACAAAGACCAAATCTAGTCTATCTGGATGATTGCCTCTATAACCATTGTGGGCAAATACTAAAAACCTATTTATATCTTGAGTAATTGGACAATATAGATCTGTCCCGCATAAGTACTGTAGGGTTAAAATTCACACCAAATAGATCAGGAAGTTTCAGTTCAGTCCTTCTCCAGTCACTATTTCAAATTAGGAACAGCAAAAGTAGCTGAGAACCCTGATGTTCTCTCTGGAGAGGTTCCTCTGCCACAGAATCCATGTAAACATAGATCCAGTTGTCCTTGGGCAAAATTTTCTGAAGTCAGGTACAGCTGAGCAAGGCATGCTAGATTTGACCCCTTCTCCCAGATTAGTCTACGGTAGATAAATAACTAAGCAAAGCTTTTCAAACCTTAGGCTCCCCTATCCATACGTAGGTTCCTAAACAAAAGTGGCTTAATTTTCAAAAAAGGATTAACACCTACAGCTTCCAGTTATGTCAGTGAGATTTATGGGATGCTTAGCAGACCTGAAAATTAGCTCCAACTTATAGTTAGGTGTCTAAATATGGATGTTGGAATCTAATCACTTTAGGGTTGAAAACATTGGCCTATAGTATAGGTTCACTTTATTTAAATACGCTAATGTATATGCTCTGTATACCTCCTCCAGTTTTTATTCAGGTCTCATTCAGATAACTACATGGAGTGAGACTAGATTTGGGGCAGGTAAGCTTGCCATGTATGACTTACTCTCTCCTTACATTGTAGCTCAATTCATGTTAAGTTCTAAGTCTTAGGAATTCACAGTCTAAAATGCATTTAATAGGAAATAGAGATTGAAGATCGTCATATTTCTACCATATAGCATAATAGTCTCTGGTTTTCTAAGATGACTAGGTAAACTACTTACTTTCATGACTGGAATCAAATTTGCTGGAGATCAGGCTTTGATGAGTCCCATCAGGAGTGGAAAAGAATTAGTAGAAAGTTGAAAAGGAAGGGATTGAAGTATATTTCAGTGCGGGAAGTCAAATCCCATTTGTTTTGGGGCTAGTAATATTTCAGATTCAGGAGCCATTGTGCAGAATGAAACAAAATCATGCCTGACAGGCTATCTTCTGAGGGACAGAAAAGGGTCTTTCTCCTGAGCATGACAAACCCAAACTGAAACACTTGGCAGTGGCAGCATCAAAAACTAATTACCAACTAAATTTCATGTGTGTGAATGTACACACGTGGGTTTCTTGTGTCTTTGAAACTTTAATCTGTTGGCTTTTATTCTGTAAATTATTTTTCTCCCTTTGGCACTCTACTGTCTTGCTACTTTGCATCTGATGAAGGAATTGTAATGTGGAGCTGTTGGCAGCCTTTTGGTAGTTCGTGGAAAGTACTTGCAGTGCTTTGGATAATCCACTACTATGCTGGTGTAAGAATAGGTGTTTTTATCTGAATGTTTCTATTCCACAAACAGCTACATTGTGATTCCTGTTCTATGTAGTAGCACAAAATCACCCTAGCAACTTCTTTAGAAATAAAATGCATCGTGAGACTTTCTTTCTTTCTTTCTTTCTTTCTTTCTTTCTTTCTTTCTTTCTTTCTTTCTTTCTTTCTTTCTTTCTTTCTTTCTTTCTTTCTTTCTTTCTTTCTTTCTTTCTTTCTTTCTTTCTTTCTTTCTTTCTTTCTTTCTTTCTTTCTTTCTTTCTTTCTTTCTTTCTTTCTTTCTTTCTTTAATTAAGATCTAAACAAAAACAGTCCCCCTAGCTATTATAATTTTAAATTATTCACTATTAACCACTGCAGAAACAACCCCATTCTACTTCAAGGTTATAATATATTTTCCTTATTTATTTATACTGACTCTGCAATTCTGTTGCTAACTTGACCCAAGTGAGCAAATATAAATTGACTCTCCTGTCCCCCTTCTCCCTCTGAACCTGCTCTTGCTTCCCCTGTGTTTCCCCTCCCCACTGCCTCTGATTTAGAGGCAGCAAGTGGGAATGCAAGTAGTAGAGTAGTTGACTATTTAACTACTCTTTTACATTCCTATTTAAGAGGGCAAACATTTTATGGGGGCGAATGAGGGGACTGTAGACAATCAGATTCCCATTATCTAGCATTACAATTATAGTCTCTCTGCTAAGTGGTAGCAGTTGTTGGAACCTTGAAGATCAGTCCTTTGATGGAGCACAAATCTTTGAGCTAGGTGTTTTCCTATAGTAAGTGTTTTATTTAACACCGTATGCCCACGTGTCGTTGAACAAAAGTGGTCAGAAAGGGCACACAAGCTACTTTTTGTATCCCAAACTTCAGTTCCTGGTTCTGAGGAAGCAACTTTGCCCCAAGAATTGACTCTCTAGAATTTAAGTCAGAGACCACACTGGCTTGTGAATATGGCTGCCTCCCCTCCCTTATAAACGACATCACAAAAACTCACATTGCAGCATTTCTTCAAAAGCTGCATACTAGGTTCTGTGCACACAAGGTCAAAACAAAACAACCAACCCCATTTTGCACAAACAAAAAAACAAACCTTCCCCTAAACAAAACCAAAATCCTTGTTAGACTATCTTTCACAACATCATCTTTTGGTGACTACCACCATCATTCATTTTTAGTAAGCAAAAGGTTAACATGATGGCAAATTGTTCCCAAACTAAAATGGTCTGCAATGCTTTATGCTCCTTTAGTGTTGTGTAACAGTTACTAATGGTTCAGTGTCTATAACATTTGTATTCTTCAATCCTTTGAAACAAAGAGATGGTTTTTTTGAGAAATTTATGAAAAACAGACACTTTTTGATAATAAACATTTAAGTGTATGTGTGAAGGTATGTAAAGTCTTCTTAAGGTTCCTTTACGTTGCTAAAGATTGGTGATGCGAATCAGACCTTATATGTTTGCAAAACTCAGCCCTTTTCTTTGCATACACCTAAGAAGTGAAAAAATAAATGGAAGAAGGGCAGGCTCAATTGATAAAGCCTCACAAAATTGACCTGTTTATTTAAAAGAGATAGTACAAATGTAAAGGCAATTAACCTGCACATGTTGCTATTTAATGATTCACAGAAACCTCTCCTTAATATACAGAAGCATGTTAGTGTTTGATCTGGCTACAGTGTGTGAAACTCCAATTAATATCTACAATAAAGATAAGATTATACATGGCCTGATGCTGACATCACAGGCACACATTTTACATTAGGGTTATTTATTGACTTTGTATATACATGATATCAGAGTCAGGCCCACTATATTTTGTATGCTGCATAATAGAGGGGTTTATAAAAAAGATTGATGTGCTTTGATTTGGAATACTATTACTCAAATAAAAACCATTTTTCTGAATGCATTTAGTTCACACCTCTTAGGTAAGTTTGTGCCTAATTCTGTCAAGTAACCCATGAGAGGCAGTACACCATGAAGTGTCATTCTGGGACTCAATGTATCACAGCTGGAAATGAAATAAAATATATACTTGCCATTTATACCAGTGGTTTTCAGGCTTAGTCTTCAGGCTAACATTTCCAATGTGTCCACAAATGAAAAAAGGTTGAAGACCACTAGTTTAGACAAGTTATAGGTGTAGTCCTGCACAAACACAGAGGAGCAAATGTTCACAAGGTATGTCTCTGCTACATTATCATGTGGACAAATTGGTATAATATTCTACCTATATTAGCTATACTTTAAGTGATGAATTTTGAGTTAAACTTTTCTTTCCTAAATAACCCAATAAATAAATATAAAGATTTCCTTAGAGAAACATTTAAAGCACATCCTGTAATAGTCTATGTCTTTTTCCCCTTTCTCAGGACATGAATGAAATATCCAGCTTTATAAAAGGTTCAACACGCGGCTGTCAGCAAAACAACTGGAACTATCCTCCATTCACTCCGAGTAAGTCTGTCTTAATTTATGTGGCAAAAATCCAAATGCGTGTGAGGTAGAAGAAATCAATTATAATGGGGTAAGGGAAATTGTTAGCATTTTTTGTTTTATGTCCTAAATATTCTTAATAACAGAAAAGATGAGTATATAGTATGTTTTCCTCTGTGGCTTAGGCACTGTTTCCAGAACTCCTAAAGATGAATGTCTTTTTCCAGTAAAATGTTTCATCATTCTTCAAATTATTAGCCGCATTTGCTAAACTAAATGTTTCTATTGCCTTAATTAAGTCTAGCAATAGTATTGATTTTCCTTTATCATTAATGGCTTTAGGCATGTAAGCATAACTAAACTGGAATTCTAATGCTTTATCAAGCAATAACTTATGTAATCCTGTCTCAGTAGCTTGCCAGATCCAATAGTTCAGTAATTTAGGGTGAAATTGTACAATCTTCCATATGTTCATGTGCAGTTGCTCACAGGAGTAATACAGTTGCCATCAGTACATCTTAGTGCTGTATTTTAGACTGTTGAAAGTAAAAATGTCCCTTCCCTCTCCTCCCCCCTAGATTCCAGGCTGTAATGAAAAGAGTGGAAATATTTCACTCTGTAACAGATACAGTTTTAACTCCTGTGGGCATTTTTCCAAGGTGGTATTTAAGAGATGGGAAATGGGAAAGAAACAAGGAACAGAGAATGTTCATATAGAACTTACTGACACTTTACACTCTATCTGAAGCAAGAGGAAGTGTATGGCCGCCTTGGTTTATGAGTAAAGTCCTGCATGGATACAACATTTGTATCTCCAACTGCATCTATATCTGCAAAAATCAGCTGATTGTGGATACCTGTGGGTATAAAGTGGATAGCTGCAAATTTGTAGGGATCTAGATACAAAATCTATATCTGCATCTGCATCCACATCCACAAAAATGACATGCATATCTACAGATGCAGATACCTGTGGATCTAAAGCAGACATCCACATGCATATCTACATATGCAGATACCTGTGGATCTAAAGCAGATATCCATGGATTTGAAGGGCTCTATCAGCAAGGCAGTACCTGAACTGCATCTCTGAGAAATTACTTCTCCCTCCCTACTGAGGGAGCCCCACTTCTGTGCTGGAGAAACCGTGGCAGTATAATAGTGGAGCTTTCTCTCTTACCAGGATTTAGAAAAGCAAGTAACTCATACAAGGAAATAAGGAAGCTCCTTATGCCTTCATACTCCCCTACACAGGCATGTAATCAAAGTGACAGTTAGGCCGATACTGAGCTACAGTTCTGGAAAATAAACAAAGATTTAGTAAGAGAAGAGCTGGAAAGTAATCACACTGAAGAGAGCTGGTGATCACTATTCAACATCACCTATAGAAATATAAGATTTAGTAAGTTTATGCACTGAACAAACTGAATCTGAGTATATGTCAATGCACCTAACTCAACTCTGATATAAAAGCTGCATTTATGGAATCATTAGTTGCAATGGAGTTGAGTTGTTCTGGATTCATATACTGATTGCCATGAGGTATAATGAGCTCCAAAAGTGTTACAGTTTAAACACAGATGAATAAAGCCAGCATACTTCAGTCTATCTTAGCCTACTGTCGTATGATATGGTATTGTTTTATTCTTCATGAACTGGGGTGAATGTAAATACTAAATAAAAAGGGCTCTTGCATTTTGTTGTGTAGTAAGATAAAATATTGGAAATATTCACAATAAAGGCTTATTCCAGTGTTGCGATGTTATTTTCAGAAGGTATTCTCGATGGAGTCATGTATTCAAAGACACTTTGCATGGATGCAGTGCAATTCTGGGGAAAGCACTATGATGTTCACAATCTATACGGATATTCCATGACCCTATCAACTGAGAAGTAAGAACTGCTTTCTAATAATTGTTACACAAAAGCTGTGTAGGGCCATGGTGCTATAGCAAAGATGCCACACTCAACCTGCTAAATAGTCATATTGTTCAAGCCAAATAGGCACACTCAACCAGCCAAATAGCCACATGTGGCTAGTGGCTAGACTGTTGGACACCACAGCACTAGAACACGTGGCCTAAATTTGTTTTAGTGATTTTTAGGTGCCCACTTAGAAACTCTTTAAAGAAACCTGATTTTCAGAGATTGTTGAGCACTTGTCCTTTGAAAATCAGATCCTTCTATGGTTTCTGAAGCTGAATACCTAACAAAGAAGTACCAAAAGCTTGTTATGAAATTTAGGACTATGTAGCTAGTTTTCTTGTTGAACCTGTCAGTGGAAGGAAGATCCTGCATCACTATTTAAAGTTCCACCTAAAAATGTCTTCAAATTTGTTTTTTTGGTTATAAAATTAACACAGAACAAAGCACTGAGCTTTTAAAAGTGTTAGTGAAGTGCCAGCTGTGTTTGAATAATTTTTAAAGTGAGTATAATTTAAAGACCATTTCAGTCAAGTTATTTCGGTTTGAAGAACAAATTAAGCCATGATTCTGGTTCTGGCTAAGCTCAAGGGGTCATTATCCTGGTAGATAAGTGCCTTCACATCATCCCATTTTGCATCTGACATTTCCAATGAGTCACATATGTCCTCCATGAAACACAGGTTCTGAATTGTGGCGTGTTAGACTAGAGGAGCTCTCTATGCTTTGTACTCTGCTTCCCTATGCAGAGTATGATTTAAAAAAAATCATGGTTTTCAACATAGCCTTTCCCCCTTGGAATGCCTATACTTAAATTGAGAACTGTTTGGTATGTTGGATCCTCGGGGGATCTGGAATGATGTAACTCTACTGAGGTCAGGCCAGTATATTCTGATTGAGTATTTGGACCAAAGGTTAGTGGGCTAAAAAGTTTCAGAAAGAGATCTGATTTAGAGTTAATATCAGGAGCTCAGCTAAAATACATCTGGCTACCTGAAAGTCAGATAATACCCTTGGGTCAGTGGGCCTTGGTATTTTTATAAATGAATGACTGTGGATTAGCAATGTGGGAAGAAAAAGACAATCTATCAGAGCTGAAGTACTCTTGCCATGTGGCAGTAATTAACAGTCTCATTTCATTTTCAGAGCTATACAGACCGTTTTCCCTGGAAAGAGAAGCTTCACTATTTCTAGGTCTACTTTTGCTGGATCAGGAAAATACACAGGACATTGGCTAGGAGACAATGCTGCTACATGGAATGATCTGAGATGGGCAATACCAGGAATGCTGGAATTTAACCTCTTCGGGATACCTTATGTAGGACATAGTTATTTGTGATAACCGTTCATAGCAACAGATTAAGAACTAACCATGAAACCTTTTCATATAGCTGCTCATTATCTAATCAAAACTGTTATAAATAGTGACCTTGCTCTTTAAAACATAAATAATCATGTGCAGGAATTCAGAAGTGAAAACAAGTCTCATTCCCCATGTACAGCTTTACACAATTGTCTGGATTAATTATGGAGCTGTTGTTGCTGATTTCTTGCTTTCCTATGAAGTATCAAGTATAGGACACTCCCATAGCAGGGTTTCTGACTAGATGGCCTTGTGATCTAGTGCAACCTTTTTTCTTTTTGAGCCCCTATCCCCCTCAGCATGGTATTAAAACTGCATGGCCCAGCTGTGCCACAACAATTGTTTTTGCACTAGGGGATAGTAAGGAACACAATTGCTTGGGATTCCAGAAAACTAAATTGTTCAGTCTTCTGCTTTAGCCCTAAGCTCTCTGCCTTGGCCTTAGTGACTCTAATGTCAGCTGTGTTGGCAGACCCCCCCAAGAAACATGCACATAGCCACCCAAGGGTCCCCAGGCACCTGGTGGAGAACCATTGATCTAGTGTACTCTATGTTTCAAGCCATCTGTCACCCTTTATTATTGTATTATCTTCAGTCATTAGCTCTGTGAGCTGATGCAGTGTTTTGCAACCACATTGACACTGGGAAAGAATTGCTCATTTATAAATGATTGAAGTGGCCAAATTCCATCTTCAAGATTTCTGTGATTATACGGTGCTGCCAACTTGTAAACTGCTTACTGTTATTTATTTATTAATTTCATAATCATTTATTTATGGCACCACCTGCTGTGTGTTACCCATTTTCCAAATATTGAAGAGTGGTGCTCATGAGCTAAAGACAACAAGATGGAGCATAGGGAGAAAAGGGAACCATAGTAGCCAATTTAGATACAAGTGGGTTTCATTCACTATAGTTGACCAATGCAACTACAATAAAACCCTGTGGCTGCATCTAGACTGGCAAGGTTTTTCGCCAAAGCAGCTGCTTTTGTGGAAAAACTTGCCAGCTGTCTACACTGGACGCTTGAATTTCCACAAGAACACTGACTTCCTACTGTCTGAAATCAGCGCTTCTTGCGGAAATACTATGCTGCTCCCATTCGGGCAAAAGTCCCTTTTGTGCAAAGCTTTTGTGCAAAAGGGCTAGTGTAGACAGCTGAGATTTGTTTTGCGCAAAAAAAGCCCCGATCGCGAAAATGGCGATCGGGGCTTTTTTGCGGAAAAGCGCATCTAGATTGGCATGGACACTTTTCTGCAAAACGTGTTTTTGTGGAAAAGCGTTCCTGTCAATCTAGACACTCTTTTCTGCAAATGCTTTTAATGGAAAACTTTTCCGTTAAAAGCATTTGCGGAAAATCATGCCAGTCTAGACGTAGCCTGTATGTGTAGGTACAAAGTGCTCAACTTAATTAAACACCTATCTCCTTCTTTCCCCATTATGCTGCTCTCTTCCCTTTTAACTTCCCCTCTGCCCCTAATTCCTTCTGATGCACTTTCGCACTGAAAAAAGGTTTTATTTTTTTTTAAATGGTAGACTAATTTCAGACATGATGTGCAAGGTAGAGAGACCTTTTCACTTAGGAGTCCATCAGAACTTCTTGGAAAAATACTATATTATAGGTTGATATTTTTGCTACCAATGTACAGAGGAATATAAGGGTTCATCTGCATGGCCCTCCAGTGTGAACTTCTGGGGGTGTGAATTACAGTGTACACCAAAATTTTTTGCTCTAAGTGCCCTATGTAAAGTGCAAAAACTAAAAAGTATCTAGTTTGTGTTAACATTGTCCTGTTTGAAATGGGACTTGGAGTTTCTTCATTACATTCTAACGTTTGAGGTCTAAATTTAAAATCAATGTAAAAAGAAACTTTGAAAATATTACAGCATATTTTTTAAAGGAGGTATGCCTGACACCCCACCTTCAAAAATAATCATTGATAATACTCATTTGACAGCTTTGAGTCTTGGTGAGATCAGATCTAAAAGAAAGGTGTCGGATGGGAATATGCTGAACATGATTTACTATTGTGGCAATTAAGGATATGTTGATTATTCACTGGAAATTATTCCTTTCCCTTTGCACTTCATCTTTGCAAGAGTGGTAGTATTCCAATTAAAAATATCTGTGCAGGCATATGTGTAGAGATGAGGTATGCTGTGCTATACATACATAATATAGCTACCATTTTGTCACATACACACTATTTGTATAATTTTTTAGATTGGTGCAGATATTTGTGGTTTTTTTGATAATGTCTCAGAAGAACTTTGCAGACGATGGATGCAAGTTGGAGCATTTTATCCATTTTGCAGAAATCACAATGCTGAAAACTATGCGGTAGGTTACAAATACTTTTACAAAATTCATTAAAGATATTAGTAAGTTACTAATTTCCTACCACCGTTGTACCACTGAACTTATAGGGAGAACGCCAATATTCTTTAACTTCACTAGCACAATGTAACTGGAACAAATCCACTATGATGTAATTGTTTCCATTGTTCTTAGTTAATATTTATGCAGTCATTACTCCTATGGAAACAATTGCTGTCCCACTACCATAGTGTAGGCACTCTGTGCACTCTGTCTCCTGCATTCTAATTAGGTTTTCTGGTCAAAGTAAGCTATATAGTTCCCTGGAACTGTAATTGGTATTTTACATTTGTAGGCTCTCTTAATGAAATTCTAACTCCAAAAGATTCACCTCCATTGGAAATGTAGGTATTGTGCCAAGTCCCCAACTGGCACCAACAACTATAACCTCATTGAATCCCTGTTCCTGTGAACTCCGAAGGAATTGCAGCTGCTTATAGTGGGGTTGGCCTACATTGTTCTTTAGAATATATTTCCTTATTCATGTTAATAACAATCCAACCTTTGATTTCAGCCTCAGGATCCTGCTGTATTTGGGGCAGATTCTCTTTTGGTGAGATCATCAAGGAACTACTTGACGATTCGATACACTTTACTGCCTTACCTTTATACCCTTTTTTACAATGCTCATGCACAAGGAGGCACAGTAGTGAGACCACTTCTTCATGAGTAAGTTCACTGATCAAAATATGCAGAAACGGTAGTTTTGTTGGGAATTCCATGGGCCAGGGAGCTGCGCGGCCTTCTCCCTCTCCCTTTGCAGTGACTGGGATAGGGAAAGGGATGCAGGATCTGGGTGGGAGGCAGGGCACAGGAGGAGATGAGGGTGCAGAGTCTGGCCACGAGGGAGGGTCCAGGAACGGACTTCGGGTATAGAGTATCTGGCCAGGGGGAGGGTGCATAAGGAAGAGGGGGTGCAGGAGCTGGCTTTTGGTAAGGTGTGGGGCCAAGGGCAGGGTGCAAGAGCAGTCTGGTGGTAGGGTATAGTGGCAAGAGGGGAAGGGTTGGCGAGCATAGCAGACAGGGGAGGCTGGCCAGTGTACCAACTGGGGGAGGGCTGACGAGCATACTGGCTGGGGGTGGTGGCGGCGTGTGTAGTGGGGAGGGGGGTTGGTGAGCATCTGCACCATCCCTTGCTCCTGTACCTCCTCCCTGGCCAGACACCCTGTCTACTCCCAACCTGCTCCTGCCCCTTCCCACTGGCCAGACACCCTACTCACAGCCTGCTCCTGCACCGTACCTCCCACCTAGACCTCACTCCTCCTCCATCCCACCTCCCATCTAGGGATGTGAAGGACTAGTTGCTTCCCTACCCCCTTGCTGCCTCTATCAGATAGAGACAGTAAAGGGGGGAGAGAAGAGGGGCATACTTCAAACTGGCAGCACCTCATGGAGCCTGAGGACAGCTGCTCCGTGTGGCGCTGCCGTTTTGAATGCTGCAGGGAGCCTGCCCCACAGCATTTCAAAGCAGCAACACAACATTTCAAAACAGCATTTCAAAGCCAGTTGATCCCAGGCTCCAAGCTGCGCTGCCACTTGGAAATGTGCGAGGAGCCCGGAATCAGCTGGGGTCTCCTCAGCTGACTCCGGGCTCCGTGCGGCTCTGCCACTTTGAAATGCCAGGGGAGCCCAGCATCGGGACTCCCCAGCTGACCCCAGGTTTCGGCACTTTCACTTTTGAAGTGTAGCAACAGCTTTAGGGCTGTTGCTACACTTCAAAGGCAGAGAAGCCCTATCAACTAATAGTCAATGAAAAAATGCATCAACTATTCAATTAGTCAATTTCCCGATACTTACCATCCTTACTCCAGCCTAGATCTTGTACCCACATCCCTATTCCACTCACTGACAGCCCTTTCCTGTACACTGAACCACTAATTTTTGGCCCCATCCGAGAGCCTGGGGGGAGGGGGCACAAAATACACTGACCCTGGAACCGCAGAAGAGTTAATCTGGCTTGAGGTCTTGAACCTCAGTCCTCCCTCCCCCTCCATGGTGCTGGAGCACCAGAGGAATTTTGAGGGCCACATCAGTGAGGATTGGTTTTTTTTCCCCCCCTTCTCACTTGTATGGACCCTGACTGATTTTTCTGTGGGTCAGTGGCTCCCAACCCAAAAAAGGTTCCCCACCCCTGCCATAAATAAAGACAATGTTGAAACCTTTTTTGTTGGACATAATATTTTACTTTTTTAAATAATTAAGGCTGGCCAACAAGGCCCCAATTGGGGCCAAGTCCCCATCTGGCTGCAGCGTCCCGGTCCCGGCCCCGATCCTGGACACAGGAAGGGCTAGTGGTGGCTTCCCTCTTGCTGTGGTACAGGTAGGAGGGGAGGCCAGAATCCAGCTGCGGTGGACAGAGCGGGGTTGGCGAATGTAGTGAGCAGGGGGCACAGCCCCCTAGTATTTATACAAATATAGAATACAGAAATGGAGAGCATTCCAAAATACATGGAGATGTTTTTAAATTCATTAGCTACCTTTTAAGAATGATTAATCATAAACCGCCTCTAACTTCCCTAGGTATACGTAAAGAAGTGTAATTTGCTCTTACACCTGCACTGAGTGGTATAGAATGTCAGTGGTAGATAAGGAAATTAATTATTGGCAGGTGCATTTCCTAGATCATAAACTCCTGAACAAACTATTTCCAAACAGGAAATATATGGAAAAATAGAAACCAAATAAGGAAATATATAATTTTCTTATTTTCTTCATATGGGGTAAAGAAGGCTATAGTTTTATAAATTTCCAGTTATCAGTGTTACCATTCTTGTATGCTCATTCCAGTCATGGTAATACGTTACCCATGGCAATAAGCAACACACAAAATAAATGCTTTTTCCTGGTTTAGGTTTTATTCAGATGAAGCCACATGGGCTATTGATCGACAATTCTTGTGGGGCCCTGGACTGCTTATCACTCCTGTGCTGGACCCAGTATGTTATGTTTGATTATGTTTTAAAATCTTATCTGATTAACTTCTCGTTGAGCATTAGCATTCATATTATTTGGGACTAAAGTTTGTTCCTAAACCTCACTGCACATATCTAAACTTTGTAACAGCTAATACAACGAAGGGCACCACCCCATGATCTTTATATTAGACAATTTGCATTCTGTAAGGGATACTTCTTACTTCTGGCTGTTCTCCTTGAAGCTGATAGCGGATCTCTAAAAAGATATTTTAACCAGAGTGGGTAGGTTTGTTGACCAGATAGTTTCATCAAGTAACCAGTGAACCGTGACTAGTAGATCAAACGTAAGTTAAACTAATTAATGGAGAAACACTTATGAATGTGACCACTCATGAGCATGTAGATAACAGGGACATGACATGATATAATTATTTGTGAAGCCATGTTTCTACAATGAAGCATTTTCTTTGATACCTTAGAATACTACTAAGTAAAACATCTAGAAAACATCTAGATCATGGGTTATTCCTGCGGAAGCAATGACCTTCATTAATTCAAAATTTCCCTTTGGCTCAATCTCATTTTTCAAGCTTTATCAAAATATATTTGTTAAATGTACAAAACAAAGCATATCTGAAAACAAATATCTGGAAAAAAAAATGTGATAGGAGACTTTGGGGTTATTGTGAATATCAAATGAGACATGAGTTTGCAAGATGATATGAGATCAAAATGAGCCAGTGTGATTTTTGGGTAGCATACCACATGGTAGTATCATGTCACAGAACAATGAAGTAACAGTCCCTCTCTGGTTCCAATGCAACTTTGCTAAGTTATTGCATGCATTTGTGGGTGCTTCCTTTTTTAATCTTTTTAACAAATTGCTCAGATTTACGGAAGAGTAACATTCATTAGGAGCTAGAAGGACTGATTTGTGAAGAAAAGAGAAAAGCAGGAGCTGTGCACAGGTTAGCTGAACATTTAAAAGGAGCTATAATAACAGTCTGCAAATATCTGAAGGTGTAGATACTCCAGAAGAACTATTTACTTTGGTACAAGGAGATCTAACTAGGGCAAATAGGACAAAAGAAAAGAAGAATTAAAGCTACATTTCAGGAAAAAATTCTGATAGTGAGAAAAATTGGGCTGTGGGATAATTTCCAAAGAAAGGGACCGAAGCCTTATTGCACGTCATATTTAAAATAAGACCAGATAGATTATTAAATTTACTTTACAGCATAAATCTTCATTGCATATGGAAGAACAAGGACATGTTTTTTTTCTATTCCAACTTCTATGACATTATGAAAAAAGTCCTACACTTTTATAGAGACCTAGACTATTATAGAGAAAATTCCTTCTTTGTAAACCAAAATCAGAATAAATACAATTGAAATTTTCTTGTCAGTCTAAAATTGTTACTTTGGAAATGCTGCTTTCATTGCTATTTAATTTGTTTGTCTTTAAATACAAAAGATATTTCTTTATTCTCATTTCAGGGTGTGGAAAAAGTGATAGCATATATCCCTGATGCAGTATGGTATGACTATGAAACAGTAAGTAAACACATATAATAATGCCAGGCTAAGACCATGTCTGTATCTTCTTCTCATCGTTGTACACTGTGGGATGGGTTGTGATTGTTAGGCTTGGTAGAGAAGGTAAACATGAAGGAAGTAGATTGTTGAGAGAAAGAGAGGGAAGCAATGGAGGAGAAGATGGGAGAGAGATAACTAGGGGAAGGAGGAGGAATGGACACAAAAAGAAAGAGCCCATAACAAACATCAAACAAAGTTCATGTTTCTTCTACATTCTGTACAGTGCTGTGAACACAAACATCAGTAGCCAAATAATAATCTATAATAATAATAATTGCAGTCTTCTCTGGGCATTCAAACACTGGCATATTATTCTTATTTATATGCCAATTCTTTTGCCCATTGACTGGAGAAGGAAGGATAAGGGTCTACTCCATGCCTGACCTAGGATAGTGTCTAATTTGAGTCTTGCAAGATGAATTGGCCTTTCTTTGTGTGTTGATCATGCTGGAATCAAAAAGTAAATGATTTTTTTTGATGTTGTACCAGATGAACATTAATGTAGGGTCGTTTTCCATGGTAGTAGGTAGAGAGTGTCTGAATATACATTCATGTATTATAACTGTTGTGATTAATCAGGAGGAACTGGAATGGAAACTCATGATGTGAGAAACCATTCACTGCAGTGAGAAATATAATGCTCATTTTATCATCCATTCCCATAAATTAGGGTGGAAGAGTAGTATGGCGAAAACAACAAGCAGAGATATATCTCCCAGCAGACAAACTAGGACTTCATCTGAGAGGAGGCTACATTTTTCCTACTCAGCAACCAGCTAATACAACATTGTACAGGTACGTTTTAAGGCTGAGCGCTCTCATCACAAATTATCAGATGTCAAACCAATGGGAGTGTCGTATTGGAGTGGTTGACATCCATTGCATCCTATGCTGTTTAGTCAGGCTAATGTTTTGCTGCAGTCAGGGGTGCAACATCAGTACTTCAGTGGTATTTGGATCAGATGCTGAAGCTCCACAGTCACACATATGGCCTAGTTGGCTTGTTAGTTTGCACAGTGAGGGTTACAATGTTGCTTTGTCACAAGACCTGAGTCAAGGTGTAGTTGAGTTGCCTAAGAAATGGACCAGAAACCAGACTAAGACAAAGATCCTCAATCTGGTCTCTCTAGGCCCATTTTGCTCCAGAGATGTGGAGTGAGTAGTTTGCACCACTTTGTTCCACACTCTGTTTGACGGGGTGCAGTCACAGAAGACCGGTTGGAATTGTTCCTCTGTCTGGCTCCCCACCATCCTGTCTAGCTGGGCCGGATCCAGAGCTGGGGTTACTGTCCCCCTGAAAAGCAGAGCAGATACAAACCACTTCACTTCTGGGAGAAAGCAGTTCTGGGGCACAGATCCCAGGAAACCAACCCTTCAAAGGGATAAAAGTGCCAAATAAATCCATCTTTCTCATTGTAAAATTTTGCAAAAGGAAAGCTCATGAGGATGTTTGCCTCTTTCTCAATGAAAGAGAGATACACACACTGGTCATTCCCCCAGTTAACAATTATTTACACTGGGTCTGAAAGTAAACACGTGTTCTTATGAAATACAAATACTAGTATTTAACTGTTTTCAAGTGAAAATAGATAGATCAAAGTAAATTACTAAGTTAAAATGAAAAGAAAATCCATAGTTCTAATTCACAAAAAATGTGTTGCAAGAAGTCTCTCTACAAAGCTGTTCTTGCTCTAGACATAATCTTCAGGTCAGAGACAAACTCTTTTACCTTGACCTGGGTCCCTAGCCCTCTTTAGCGTGTGTCATTCCACCCAAAGACAAAGGGTTTTTAGCTTCCTGTTTCTTAAATAGTCTTTTCCCCAGGGCAGGAATCTTTTTGTTCAACATTCCCCCATGGAAAAATACCTGGGTCAAAATAGAATCCCAGTACCAGGTGGAATGGTCACATGTCTTACTAGTTTGATCACCTTTGGATTTACAAGACAAACAAGGCTATTTACAAGTCTTTAAGTTGATCTTCCAGTTGTTAAGACTTCTGGAAAGAGGGCACCAGTAATGGCTCTCATTAGCACATTTAAAACTATAAACAGTTCCCTATTTCACATTTCTAACTTTACATACAAGAAAGATGCATGCAACAAAATTAGATATACAGATCCAGCAGACTGTAACATTAAAAATGATAAGTCACATGTGGTATTAAGTTTAAAGCATCTTAGAATTATGCATATTTATATTCATAAGCCAAATTTCATAAAGCATGGGAGGGCAGATTGTCACACCCTGCTAGCCCATATGTGTGATTTTAATAACATTGTGGATAATACTGTCATCCATTCTTACTCCCGATAAAAGGGATGCCCCCTTTTTCTATGTGAATGTGAAGGATGATTTGCTCAGACTGATTATTTAGGCAAAATTCCTTTCTCTATGTGCATTACAGATGTAAATATTGTTCAAAGATTTAACTGGTTTAATTATTAAAATTCTACTGTTTAGCTGGTTAACCATTGGTGGACCAGTGCAGGGCAACCATGGTGGGGGGGGGGGTCTCATGGGGCTGTGGGCAAGCATGGCAGGGTCATTGCAGTGGAGCCAGGATCTGGACCCCTTTTCCTGCCTGCTGGGGCTGGGGCTGGGGCTGCTGAAGTGGCTGGGGCTAAGGACGTGGCCAAGGCTCCCACTACAGACACAGACAGGGTCACTGCAGTGCTCCCAAGGCTGGGGTTTTGCCTGCCCTGGCCCAGGGTCAGTATCTGAGGCTGCAATGCTCAGCCAGGGTCAGGGCCAAGGCAGGTGCAGATAGGGTTGCTAGGGCTGGCATGGCTGGGGCTGCTGGTGTGGGTCAGGTTGCTGGGATGCTGCAGCTGGTGCAACCGGGGTCCTGCCTACCCTTGCCTGGGGTGTGGTAGGGCTGGGTCCAATGTGGGAATGTCTGATTCTGGGCTGCGGGCATAGCCAGGACTACCAGCCTGGCTCGGGCTGGGGTGGCTGAATTTCTGGGGCTACCTCAGCAGGAGCAGGGCAAAGGTGGAATTTTGGGAGGGTCAGGGGTCAGCAGCTGTTCATTCTGGGATTTGGTTTGCTTTTCATCTCATTCCAAGATGCCAAGGGAGTCCTTGCATTCTGTGCATGCCTCTCACACCTGACAGGTGAAGGGAGCTTACCAGCCACGTGTGAGAAGCATGCATGGAATGCAAGTACTTTCCTCTCACTCCCTTAGCATCCAGGAAACTGGACAAAAAACAAGCCATGTCTCAGAGTACACCGCTGCGTTTCCCATCCTGCCCACACACTCTCCCAAAATGCTGCCTTTGCGGCTGGGATCCCACCTACCCCTGCCCAAACTGCTATGGCTCTGCCTGCTGTCCAGTTACTACTGCCCGGCCCTTCTTGTTAACCATTTACCTGGTAAGCATTCCAGTAAGCCTAATGCTTGCTAACCAGTTAACTTTTTACATCCCTAGTGTATATCTGAAATATCAGACTGATACCATGTAATTATGATCAGAAAGTGGTCCATTGTGCTTAGCCTTTAATCTTTAATAATTGAGAGCATTGACATACTTTCATGATTAATAAAATAATATTATTACTGGATAATCACATAATTATTTGGTGTAATGATTATTTGTCCTGCCACACATTTGCATCCATTTCCATGAAAACAAAAGGCCATTTCTCTAAGTGAAGAAGTTTAGAGAAAATCTGTTCTGTTGTGAAATGATTTAAAAACTCGCAATCAAAAAATGGTAAAAGGAAATCTGCAAAATTCAGCAAACACAAAACCTCGGTTTTTAACACAAATGTTCTGGAAATGAATATTGGCAGCATTAGTATGTTTTCAAGATGTATCGATTTAAACAATGTCTAGGTATCATTTAGACTCTTCAGAGAAATTCTTTCATTTTACAGCCGCAAGAATCCAATGGGACTCATAATTGCATTAGATGAGAATGGTCAAGCAGCTGGAGATTTATTCTGGGATGATGGAGAATCTTCAGGTAGGCACATTAGATACCCATAATAGCTGAAGTACTAGTATACTTGAAAATAATCTTAATATTTCACTGGTTACATCCAACAAGAATTGTACGTTATGCAAATTAGCGATATAATTTGGAAATCATAAATGTTACAATTGGGGACCTTATCCTGCCAATTTTCACTTATCTGGAAGATGAGTGAGGGTTTGGATATACAATCTAAAGTGGAGAAAATGTAATGATTCTACTCACAAGGAAGAGACCAAAAAACTTGTTAGAATTGTTAACTTTTTAATACTTAAAAAGTTTCATATTACCCATAAAAATACAAAGTGTTATAGCACATTACTGAGATATTTCAATACACTAAAAGGTGAATTCTACTCTCAAATATACTGGTATAAATTCAGATTAACTCCAGTAGATGCAAAGCTACCTTGGGTATGTCTACATGTGCTGCACTTAAAAGTCTGAATCATTGTGAACATATCCTTAGAGGTAAGCCAAAACACAGAATAGTGACAAAGTTGAGTACTAAAAGCAGGGGCGGCCCATGAGCTTAGGCGAGCTACGCAGCTGCTTAGGGCACTGCTGGCCCGAACGCCCGATGATGACGTCACAGGGCGCCAGAGTACCCCATGATTATGTCATGGTCATTGACAGCCGTTCAGGCAGGGGCCCCAATTGCACCGCCACGCCTAGGGCACCAGCTGCTGCAACCAGCCTCGGGCCGCTCCTGACAAAGTGAGGCATCTAAATAATCTTTGATTGAAAATGGACTCATTTTCATATATACTGAGCAGCCATTACACCCAGAAAAGCCCATTTTTTTCTCTATACTGAACTTTATGCTTTTCTGCCACAAAGAAACAAACATTTTTTCACTAATAATGTTAATAAACCCTTCTAGAGTTTTTGCTGTCTTGTTATTGTAGCCACATATAGCCATTAATCAGAGATGAAGGTCCATCTGCTCTGGATTCTGTGGTCACACCACCACAAAAAGTAGGAGGACCTAAATGCATCTAAGTAGTAGGATTTTATTTAATAAATCTAATAAAATACTAATTAATGCATTTATTTCCAGACAATGTCCAAGTTAGCCAAATAAAATATCTGAGTTTCATCCCTTTTAAATATCATAATTAGATATGATCATTTTGAGATTAAAGCTATTTTGGAAAATAAAGGAGTTTGGACTTTGAAATATCTGGTGGTGATTACCAGAGGAGTTTACGGAGTTAGGCACCCAAATTCCATTAAAATGTAATGGGACCTGGCCACCTAAATCCTTTTTATTGATAATCCAAGCCTTTGTCCTTTTTATGATACTTTTGTTAGACAAACCAGCAAGCAATTTAAACATTTATTACAAAATGATTTCCTGAAGACATTTTATCACGCACTAAGGCTTTTATTAAAAAAAGATTTAAGGACCTATATGTGATAGTTTTTATTGTTTGTTTGTAACCTGTTTTAGCACCTTATAAAAAAATCCAAGACTTTGGTTTATGGCATATGCCCCTTAAAATTAATGCATTCCAAGTATCTCTGGTTTCAGGAAGTTCTGACTTCACATTTTTAATCAAACAGTCTCATGCTGAGATGTGAATAGGAAAAGAATTTAAGCAAGATTCTTCACATTTTGCTGAGATGTGAATAGGAAAAGAATTTAAGCAAGATTTTAGCCACACTGGTTAAATTTAAGAAGGAATTTTGGGAAATATGTCTCAACAATAAGGGCTTATATATAATAGAGATGATCAAAGCACTGCTATGGTGGCCAAGAATAGATTACACTACATCATTCCACTGTCTCTAATCTTGCAAAATGCGGTCAGGGTCCTGCAAACACTTGTGCGTTTGAGTGTTTTATACACAATTCGCACTGAGCAAAATGGAACTTCTCCTGTGCCTAAATGTTTTCTGGACTGCGATCTAAAGATGGTGGGAAGGTTATATAGGATTATTTGTGTAAATTATTCTGATTTTTGTCCATAATTCTGTCAGGTACTGACTGTCTAGTATTGAAATTCATTCTGACATCTGTGTTCAGATATACATTATTTTTTTATCTCTTTAAATGTGCTCAAGTTGGAGAACTAATAGAAAATGTAAATATAGTCTTCTTAATAAATCTTAAAGATTCTGAGACTTCACTTCTGCTCCTCTGCCACCAACTCTCCCATTTACACATCAGGTATTCATTAAGAAGGAGATGGAAGAGGTTCCAAAATGCTCGTCAGTAATCCTAAACTTCTCACTGGGTGGCATCTCTGAGGGGTTTTCTTGTGGTTTTCACTGCTGTTTAAAGCAGGGGTGGTGAGCCTTTTTTGGGTCATGGGCCCAGGCTAATAGATTGTGTGCTCCATCCCCATGGTGGAATGGTGGGGGTAAGGGCTGGAGGACCAGCGTGGGCTCTTCATTGTTGAGGAGGGGGACTCCTGACCCTCGGGGACTGGATCGAGACAAACCAGGGTCCTCATCTGGCCCCCGGGCCTGATATTCTCCATCCCTGGTTTAAAATATACAGTGCTCAATATACAATTTCCTACTATCACATTGTCAGATCTACCGATGGGATGTGTGTGTAAAAGGACCAATTGGCCACCATTGTTACTATGGCAACGGCAGCGCCTGGAGCCTCCAGCCCTTTAAATAATTGTTGGAGCACTGCACAGCATGATCTGGGTTGCCTTATGAGCTGGGGGTGGCACTCCATGGTTTGGGCAGCACTGAGGGCTGCCCCACCCCGTACACCCAATGCCCTGCCTCTTCCAAGAGGATGGAGCTGGCCCCCACATGCCTTACCCAGAAGCCTTGCAGGAGGAATAATGGTAGTTCGAATTAGGAGATTTAATTCGAACTACCTAGTCTGTGCCACGTGTAGCCGTGGGCAGGTAGTTCGAACTACGGGTCATTTAAAAATGGCGGCGCCCGGGAACATGCAAATGAAGCCCGGGATATTTAAATCCCGGGCTTCATTTGCAAGGTTCGAATGCCTACATTAGTCACCCTAGTTCAAACTAGGGTGGCAGTGTAGACATACCCTCAGGTAGGATGGCATTAAGCTAGCTGGATGCCAAAAAGTGGGGATCCTTGTGCTCAGAAGAATTAAACATTTTTTTAATGCTCTCTGCAATAATAGATGTGTGTGCTACTTATAGAATCCAGTTTTTATTGTTTTATCTCTACCAATCCGGAGTCATGAAAAACCTTTCAAATTGTCCATGCTCTTTTAAGTCTCAGGAAACTCTGTGCTGCCTTAAAGAAAAAGTACTCAGGTTGGCTGATAATTGCTGCAATAAATATTGAATGCCCTGGGCAATTGCTGATATTTCTACAGAGGGAACATGTTCATTTTCAAGATCTAAAATAACTCAGATTTTATTGTACTAATGTTGAGAAACAAAATAATATAGAATGTTATGATTCTTTGATCATTTTCTAAAACATATCTTCCTAAAAGCTTATAAGTTGCAATATTCCATAGAAAATGTTAACAATTTACTAGCAACCACAACCTCCTATGTTTTTTTAACCCCACATTGCAGTATTTAGAATCAATTTTTACATTTGTTGCCAGTGAAGTATTTTATTTCCTCTCTCAGAAGTGTACACTACATATATATCAAAAGTATAATAGAAAATCTTTCCAGTATAGATAATTATTCAAAATATTTCAAAGGGTCAGCTTTGAAATATGTACATAAGTTTAAAAAGAGTGTATACAATCCTTATGTATGGCCAGCAGCATGTTACATACAATGCAGATGAATAATAAGTTTGGGCTCTCTGTTAATTACATGGCAAAGAAGTATGCTCACACACATACACAATTCAGGTAGCACCGGCACAATACTTACTGGGGCATGAGTTTCCACAGTACCTTTATTTTTAGTTTTAAGTAAAGCACTTAACCACAGGAACACAAGGGGTGAATCATACATTTAAAGTTAAGCATGTATTCAGTGCTTTACTTTAGAGGATAAAAACTTTCTAATATGCTTCCAAGGGTTTACAACAGCTTTTATTCTAACAATTATACAAGTCTTTAAAATTATTCTCTTTAAAAGGAAGAGAAAAGAACATGAATAAATATTCCCATAATATAAAATCAGTTACATGAACATTATGATGTGCAGAAGAGGTTAGCAAATCTTCAATTGTCCCTCACTGGAACCTATACAAGACACAAATTATGTCTTCATGGTTTTTTTGCACAGTAGCTAGCTAATGGTGGTGTTCCTATTCTAATTCAGGCCATTGGGTGTATCTATGTTTTAGTAATCTATTGGTTTCTAATTGTGACACAATTTTATGCTCAATTTGTCAGTAATTCTGTGTAATTTCTGCCCTATGCTTAGAAAGTGTTCATTTTTCTCAACATTTTAGGTACAGTGGAAAATAAAAACTACATTCATTACAATTTTTCAGTTTCCAACGTAAGTAATTTTTCATAATCTTATTTTCAGTGTATTCATTTTAATCCTTAATATTGTCAATTAATCAAAGTATCATGTTCTTTCGTTCATTCTTTCTTTTTACTAACTTTTAGATATCACAAAAGCCCCCATGTTCCCTGACAGATAATAAAATTGACAGACAACTGTTTATCAAGTAGTAGAACTTGCAAGGTGATGATTGCCTGCAGCTCTCATCATACCAATGAGAGTTTTGCCTCACTAAGGGAGGAGATGCAGTTCTATTAAAAATGCAGTACTGGGCCCTGTAAAACGTATTTTAATTTTATTTCTGTACATGTTTATTGGGTTTTAGACTCTAGACAGATATTCTGTCAGTAGAAATAAATGTAACTCTCCTATATATATGTGCTAACAAATAATACCTAAGACAGCAGTTCCATCATTTCTTGCATATTAAGAGTCATAAAATCTGCACATAAGGTTGAAAGTGTCCATTCAGTAGGGGTGAAAAACTAGAATACAGAAGGAGCAGAAGAGTCAACAGACTCACTGCGCCCCCCCCACAGGTGTGTGTGGGGGGGAGGGATGGGTGGCTCCATGCTCCTGAAGTGTGCGGGGCTTCAATGGGAAAGGGTAGAGACTGGGCAGCAGACCATAGGTGTTGCCAGGACTGCGCCCCCCTGGTGCCATCTGGAGCACATCACCCAGGGGTCTGGTGTTGATTGAAAGGGTCTGGGGCTCCAGTCGCTGCCGCTACTTCTGTAACTTCTGCAGTCGTCCAGGAGCCCTGGGTCCCTTTGAATCACCAGGCCCCGGGGCAGTTGTTCCCTTTAACCATCTGTTGGCAGGCCTGGGAAGGAGTGCTGAACCTTCTGCATCATTCACTCCTTCCTTCCACCCCTCAGAAGACCTTTAATGCATTTTCCACTGGAGTTGAGCCCTTTAAGGGAGTGGTAGGGCCAAGATAAGAACTATTCTATACAACATTGTCCCCGTCAATCCATGGGGATTTCACACCCAGATAATGCTGACTTCATTTAGGTGATAATCAGTGTTCCCCTCTAAGGGTATGTCTAAACTACATGGCTCCGTCGACTAGATTCTGTTATAATTTTTTTCTTTTCCTTATTCTTAATCTAAAGCATTTTGCACTGTATCACTGGTGTTCAGTGAAGCCTCTGAGCTGGCATTTTAGAGGTGTTAATATTTTAGAGGTGTATACGAGTGAATGTTTGCAATTTAATTAGTCTGTCAGTACATGGATAGTCTCTTGGTCTGTCCCAGATTTAAACAAGATTTTTAAGTAGCTGTTTAATGGTCACATTCAATTCACTCAAAGTGACAAGAAGTCCCATGTATCAGAGGGGTAGCCGTGTTAGTCTGAATCTGCAAAAGTGACGAGGAGTCCTGTGGCACCTTATAGACTAACTGAAGTGTAGGAGCATAAGCTTTCGTGGGCAAAGACCCACTTCGTCAGGTCAGAAGTCCCATAACACCTTAAAAACTTTAACAGATTTATTTGGACATAAGCTTTTGTGGGTCAAAACCACTTCATCAGATGGAGTCCATGCATCTGATGAAATGGTTTTGACCCACGAAAGCTTATGCCCAAATACATTTGTGAGTCTTTAATAGGGTAACCTTACATCCAGTTTTTTCCGGACATGTTCTTGTTTTCCCATGTTAAATCGCCAGCCGGCCGGCTTTTTTAAAACACAAAAAATGTTCGGGGAGAGGGTTGTGGCAGCTGCCTTCAAGGGAACATTTGATTGTTATTTGAATCCATGCGCCTGGACAGTTCATGGCTGCTCTGTGCATGCTCCCCAGTGCATTGAGGGAGAAGTGTGCGGCTGCGGCAGCAGCTCCGGTGAGACCCAGGGTGTTAATAAAAGAATAAAAGAATCTGGAGCTTCCTGGCTGCCTGGAGGGGCATTAGGATGGAGTGTGGGACCTAGGGATGTCTGGCTTTGTGGGAGGGGTGAGGGCATTGGGTTCGAACAGTGGTGCCTCACACCATGAGAGCCAGCAGGGGCAGAGGCAGCCCTGGCAGCAGCAAGGCAGGGACCAGAGCCCCGAGCTTGGCGTGCACGGGGACAAATTTGCTGGCTTTCGAGTCTGGCCTCCTGTGTGAGTGGAACAGCTGCTGCTGCAGCGACACCTGCAGGCACCAGGTGTCCTCTCTTTTGAAAGTTCAAATATGGTAACCCTGGTCTTAAAGGTGCCACTGGAGTCTTTGTTGTTTTTACAGATACAGATGATCATGTCTTCTCCTCTGAGACTTGTCAAAAAAAAGTAAAAAAATATATTTAAAAAAAATCGTAATTGTCTCACATAATAAGTGTGTATTATATCTGGACAAACCAAAGAAATGGTTTGAGGTAAATAAGATGAAGTTTAATAAGGACAAATGCGAAGTACTCCATCCACTTAGGAAGGAACAATAAATTTCACACATACAGAATGGGTAGCAACTGTCTACTGCAGAAAGGGATCTAGGGGTCATAGAGGACCACAAGCTAAATATGAGTCTACAGTGTCACGCTGTTGTGAAAAAAGCAAATGTGATTCTGGGATGTAATAACAGGAGTGTACTGAGCAAGATACAAGAAGTCATTCTTCCGCTCTACTCTGCATTGAATAGGCCTCAGTTGGAGTATTATGTCCAGTTCTAGGCACCACATTTCAAGAAAGATATGGAGAACTTGGAGAAGGTCCAGAGAAGAGCAACAAAAACAAAGGAAGGTCTAGAAAACATGAGCTATGGGGGAAGACTGAAAAAGTGGGCTTGTTTAGTTTAGAAAAGAGAAGACTGAGAAGGGACATGATAGCTATTTTCAAGTATCTAAGGGTATGTCTACACTACCACGCTAGTTCGAACTAGCGGGGTAATGTATGCATACCGCACTTGCTAATGAAGCCCGGGATTTGAATTTCCCGGGCTTCATTAGCATAAGCGGGGAGCCGCATATCTCCAGTGATGGAGATTCCACAACCTTCTTAGGCAATTTATTCTAGTGTTTAATCACCTTGACAGTTAGGAAGCTTTTCCTAGTGTCCAACCTAAACCTCCCTTGCAGCAATTTAAGCCTATTGTTTTTCTCCCTCCTCTTTGTAACACTCTTTTAGGGTATGTCTACACTACCCTCCTAGTTCGAACTAGGAGGGTAGTGTAGACATACCCTAAAAGAGTGTTACAAAGAGGAGGGAGAAAAACAATAGGCTTAAATTGCTGCAAGGGAGGTTTAGGTTGGACACTAGGAAAAGCTTCCTAACTGTCAAGGTGATTAAACACTAGAATAAATTGCCTAAGAAGGTTGTGGAATCTCCATCACTGGAGATATTTAAGAACAGGTTGGTTAAACATCTATCAGGAATGATTTAGATGGTGCTTGGTTCTGCCGTGAAGGCAGGGGACTGGATTTGATGACCTCTTGAGGTCCCTTCCAGTTTTAGTATTCGATTACTCTATGACATTATAATTTCAGCTAACATCACTCCGATGTGTATGGAATTTAACATTATTCTTTCCTGGTGACTGAGTGGTTCAGGGAACAATAGGGTACAGAGCCTTTTACTAAAATGACATTTGTTTGAGACTAGCACAGCTCTGTTGTAACTGAGAACTGTTGTCTGATGGCAGTGTGAAAGTGCAAATATCTTAATGTTGGTACATGAGGTGAGAGTGGAGAATATTCACACCATAAAAATCACCCCTATGTGGTATCTTCACTTGCTTTCTTAGTAGAGAGGCCAAAGACATGATATGAACAGAAAATAAACCATCCTCAAATATATAATGTCTCCCCAAGTCATAGCTGAGATGCACTTATTGTCTGCTGTGGGAGAATTACTCTGTAACTACTTGTGATGCTCCTGTTCTAGGGATCACTGCATATTCACAGGCTTATGTTCAAGGCTATCAGTCTTCCATTAGCACTGACTCCACACACAAATATTGCCATGTTTTGATAAGTAATCAAATGTTTATTAGTAATTAACATAATTTATTTCATAATCATTTTCTGTTTGTAGTTTACAAAGGCACTGTAATCAAGGGCATATACCCTGCTCTGATGGAAAATCTATAGAGAGAGACATAATTAATTGCATAACGCTGTCATGTATCAATTGATTCAGTAATGGAAAACATCTATTTTTAACAAGTAAATAACTGCCATTTTATTAAATGGGTAAATAGCTAAGAAAATATAGTCCCCTGATCAAGAATGGAAAAACAACATTGCATCAGCTGTCTTCATTTCTGTGGTACATTTATGTTGCAGACCATAAACTAGGGGCAAGCCTGCTGATGGGGAAGAGGGGAACACAGGGAGGCTACGGGGCAGTTGCTCCCAGCTTGGCAATTCAAAGGGACCTGGGGCTCTTGGCTACTACTGCTGCTATTGTGGCTGCTGCCAGAGCTCTGGGCACTTTAATTTGCCGCCGGAGCACCATGCTGCACATTCCAAGCAGCGCTAAGGGCTGGGAGGGTGCACTGGCTGGCTCTGAGGGCTGCCTGGTGCAGGTGTTATGTGATGGCGGTGCTGAGGGCTGGCTGCCCCCAGCCCTACCCCTGCCAGGAGTGTGGAGCGGCCACTTCCCAACCCGTCTTGCCCAAGGGACTGCAGAGGCTGTGAGCTCTGCTGAGTGAGGGAGAAATCTTGACTTCACTGAAGTAGATGAGAGTTTTCCCCTTGACTTCAGAGACCATGATTTCTCTCTATATAGGCAAGATAAGTACATCTGAACCAAAAGGTCTGTCCTCTCCACTGTAGGCTTTCACCAAAATAGCATGGAATTTGACGTAAATGGAGCTCTGTGGGAGTCGAGTCCTTTAAAGTTTTAATATATTTTTTGAATAATCAAAGATGGAGAATCTCAGTTTTATAGATGACATTTCCCTCCCTTCTGAATGCAGACAGTGGGGTGTATTCTAGATATGTTAGGTGGGTTAGGATTTAAGCTGGGAGGGTTGAGTATTATAGTGAAATGAGGGACAGATCATGGTGAGTTTGGAGATGCTGAGGGTTATTGTGCTTTTCAACTTTCACATGAATGATGATTTTTGAAAAAACAAAAATTGATTCCAGTTAATCGGACATTTTTGACCATATAATCTGAATATCTTGTCTTTCAGAATAGTTTAAAAATGAGTGTTTTGCACATGAATTACAGTGATCCAAACAACTTAGTATTTGAGGAAATCAAAATCCTTGGTTTGCCACTTAAACCTACACTTCTTACTGTGACTCTAAATGATATAGTGCAGAATTCTCTTCATAATATCAGCTATGATCCTTCAAATAAGGTAAGTAATATTTGAATTTATGGACAGAACTTTATTAAGAACTTTCTGTCAGGTGCTTAATAGAATGGGATTGTGAAAGTAATCATGTTTATACTACATATATATTATTGTAGAATAAAGGCACTGAAGATACATTTTGCTTGTGCTCAAGTGTATAAAAATGTATGTCAGTTTGGCCCTCAGATGCACACTTACAACTCTGTCACCAGTAGAAGTTGTGCATGAACTTGAGATGGCTAGATTTGACATAGAGAGTAGAGTGTCATGTATGTACTAGGCTAAACAGTATTTGATGTGAACATCAATGCTCAGAAAAGCTCTTTTAAAAACTAAGATGTGTGTGACTCTTACAAGTTCTTAGGAATCAGTGCCACAAGCGCTCCTCGTAAGGGTGATTTTGTGGCACATGTTTTGTATTAGCTGAGTAAGCAGCCACTTTAGCCCATTGAGCGGCAATTCATGACTAATGTCATCAAGGAACTTGAAGATCTTGCTGCTGCTGGGTAACCAGTTTCTGCACCACCTTTTCACTATTACAAGTGATAACGTTAAATTAAAATTAGAGAAATAAGTGAAATAGACCCAATATGTATTATAATAATTGTCTAAGATTAGATACATAAAGCCACATTTAGGCATCTTAACAAAACAGTGATCTGATTTTTCATTCATTATAAACTTCAATGAAAGCAGTGGGAACTCAGCCACTTTAATTTAGTTGCCTATATATTAATTTAAGTGCCTAAGTTGTAGAATTCAAGTCTGAAAGTGTTTAGCTTTTATGCATTTGTAAAATTTGAATAAAATAATTATTATGGAGTAGAGCCTCAGATGGAGTACATTGTCATAGTTGTGTTAATGTCAATAGACCTATTAAAATTTATACTCGGTAAGGATCCATATGGGTTGAACACAACATTGGCTTAAATAATTATTCTCTGTTCAATTTTTTACAGGTTACCCATGTAACTGGACTTCAACTTGAACTAGGAAAAGCATATGTGTTGAAATGGAATCAAGTGCTCAGTAACACTGATAAATTTGATTGTCATCCTAGTCCTAATGCAGCAGAAGCAAATTGTGTAGCCATGGGCTGTGTCTGGGAGGTGAGCAAAAATGGTTTCTCCAACAGGGAACAGGATCATACCTTTAAGAAATTTTCATACTTTTCATTATGGTTTGTTGTGGTGAAAAACAAAGTTGGATCAAGGGAATTTCAGCAAATATGCACAAGATTTCATACATTTGTGGAATTAGGCTAAAATTAAAAGGGCAAGATAGAACCATCCCTTCTTAATTTTGAATGGATGTGGGTTTCTACATAAATTGTTCATACAATTTTGCCTGACAAACGTGAATGCAGTTTTAATAGATGCAAAATGCTATGGAGCTGAAAGGATTGAAAACTTTCTTCTTTGCTGAACATACTTGTCATATTAACCTGTTCAAGGATCTCAGTATGAAATAGTTGCATGTTAAAAATAGGAGTATTGTGGAATTATCTTTAATGAAAGGTTTAAAATTTAGGCTGCTGACTGTTTACTCATCTACAATGTATTTGAATTTTCAGCCTGTCTCCACTGACCGTGTTCCTTCCTGTTACTATCCTTCCGACTATGGTTATTCTGTCAGTCAAATTACATACACTTCATCAGGTTTATCAGTGAACCTCAACAGAAATGTTAATTACATTAACCGAGCTCAGACTTCTACTACCCCTATAAATACACTTCGCTTGGATGTGCAATATCATGACAATAATATGCTTCAATTTAAGGTAAACTCATCTGAAATTGTGAACTTAGATTGTTCCATTGGTTATACATTTTTTCATATATTAATTATCTTTAAAAAAATCTGTCTGCTTTTTGTACATAGATTGACTAACCTGACTTTTCCACTGTAGAATTGATGAAGTAGGTTTCTTCATTCAGCTAAATAGCTGGCATTTGGGGTTAAGCAAAATCTCGTCACAGAAGCTTATGTCAGTGATGGGCTAACTGCAGCCAGAAGGCCGAATGTGGCCCAACAGTGTTCTCTGTCTGGCCCCGAGACTTTGTTTAATGTTTCCCACACTGCTCAGGATTGCTAGAGTCTGCTCATTTCTGCCCACTGGGTTTTTTTCCTGCTGGTATTACTAAAGTGACATGCATGTGAAGTGAAGTATGTGCTGAATGCACAAAGCATTGACTATGAGAGCCATGCGTTCCCTCTGTATGCAACTAAAGCTCTGCTACATTTTAGTCAGCACACTTGGTAAATTCTAGGTGCGCAAGCACAGTTAGCAATGCTACTATGTTTGGGGAGAACATCTTAGTTACAACATTCTTACATCCTATTGATATGGAGGGCCACTCATGCAGTCCATTGACAAGCGTAGGTTGCCCGTTGGTCGCTTATGTCCTAATACAGTGTATAAGACACTAATAACTAATCAAAATTTTAAGAATCTTGAAGAACTTTATGATTAGCATGTAAGTTTTATGCATTAATAGTAAGTATTACTGTAGTTATAACTTTTGTGCTATTTACAAGTATAAAACCTTATTCTAATAATAACCTTTATTAAATTAATCATATTGCATATCCTGAATTGACCTATTAAGACTATGTAATAAAGGAAATGTAGATTTGGTGTTTAAATATAAGCATTAACACAAAAATGTATAAAGAGGGCTTAAAAGAATGAAAATCCTCTTTACTATGTATAAAAATAAATTCAGGGACACATTAACCAACAGAAATCTCTTGGACAAACAAAAGATTCTTGAACCTTCATTGCTTTTTATATACCAGCCCATATATATATTATTTTCTTTAAATTATAATGATATAACTAAGAAAACTAAGAAAAGAATGTCTCACCCAATGTCCTCAGACTGCAATATTTTATTTGTTTTAACTAAATGTTTGTTTATGTCTTTTAACAATATTGGTTACACTTGAAAAAGTTTGTCAGAAATCTTCCTTTGTTTAAGGTTCTACCAATCTGAGAGAAGTGCCCTATAATTAATATGGAGAATAATGATTGAACTAGTAATATTTCTTAAAAGGGATTGAAATCTTAAGAACCATTGATGTATAGATCTTTTGAATATTTTCTGTGCACTCAAATGAACTGATTTCTGCTTTATAGATTTATGATTACAGCAATAAAAGATATGAGGTTCCAGTACCACTAAATATCCCTAGCAGTCCTACAAGTACATATGAGAATCGACTCTATGAAGTAACAATTCAGAATAATCCATTCGGCATCCAGATTCGACGCAAAAGCACAGGGACAATTATGTAAGTGAATTTTTTTTTCTCCCTGTTGGTAATATTTTTTGTTTTAGATTGGGATAAGCCATGTTAGTTTCCACCATACGGTGCTAGGTAGATTCCCTTTTCCCCCCCCCCCCCCATCAGTGGCAGCATAGTCAATGACAGCCCCTTCTTTTGGAATATGCCTAACCATTGACCATTTGCTTCAGTTAATAGCCTAGTAGACTGATTGTTCAGGTATACGGTGACCACATTTCCTTCTGCTGAAAACAGGACACATGGTAAAATTATTTGCATTCAAATGAGTTCAATGAGAACTAAGCAGTACAAATGTTCAAATTAACATCACGTTTACTAGGCCCTTATTAAAAAGAAATACTGCATAGTTGAATTCTCTATTTATTCTTCATATCTTTAAGACTTTGGGGTCCACACAGGGAGGGATGATACACTCTCCTTCCCCTCAATGGAGAGAGGCAACAATCCATCCCCCTCACGTGTGTGTGTGTGTGTGTGTGTGTGTGTGTGTGATCAACTAGCTGACCCTCCCTACCCAGCATTCTCCATCCTTCATGTCTGACTGGGCCTCTGACCTGACCTGACACCATGTCTTCCTGAGACAACACATGGAGGAGACACTCCCAGATGCAAGCAGCAGCCCTTCAGCATTGTGCAGATGCCTATGGGATTGAGCATTTCTGTATTCCTTGGGGGCAGAACCCAGAGAAGGGTGGGCAGGTAGGTCAAGAGGGCACTAAGTCCCTCCCCACAAGGCTGCCATGGATGCTGTAGGGTTGGGACAGAAATAGGCTGGAAATTGTTTCCGTCTCCCCTGGAACTGCAGAGCTTAGATGAGGGGTGGAGAGGTTTCCCTTTGCTACACTGTTGGGGTCTTGGGCTTTCCTGGGGCATTAGTCCAGCCAGAGGCAGTAGGGGAAGGAAGGAGCCTGCCTGCCAAGTTGTTGATGAGCTGAAGGTTCCAATCTGAGGTTGGTTCACTGCACAGTGCTGGGAGTGGGACATGCTCTGCATTGGGGGCTATGGAGGAGCAATAGAGCTGGGGGGATAGTCAAAAGTGGCAAAGCAGGGAGAGGACTGTGAGAGATGAAGCACATAAAGGGCTGATGGGAGCAGCAGAGGTGAGATGTAACTAGCCACTGTTTGGCACCTGTGCACGCTCATCAACTACCACAGCTCCCAGTGCACAGCCAGTGCTGGCTAGAGATGGATCGGGGGTGGGGCTTTGCTTGGTAATCAGTAGGAGCTTTACTGATGGACAACAGGGCAAGAAGCCAGTCCTTCATGCTGCATCTTTGCCGGTCATTGGAGTCATCGGCGACTGGATCCTCCATTCATTGCTGGTGTATGGGCAGCTGGCCAGTAGGGATATGGCCAGCATCAGGACCCACTAGTACTGATGGGAGGTAGGCAGGAAATATGGGGAAATTTGCCTGTTTTTAATAAAAAGTTAGGACTCTTGCAGGAGGGCTTAAATAAAGGATAGTCCTCTTAAAATGGGTTATTTGGTCAACCTGTTAATAAACTGAACTTCTGTGGGGACAGTAGCATTAAGGAACATCTCCTTTCTTCACTTAAATGGCTAAGAAGTTTCCTGTATCACCTCACATCATTGGCTGTAGTAAGTTTTAGATCCTGTGGTTGAGTGACTCTAAATGCCAGTATTTTATTTCCCTCTGCAATCCCATGTCTCATTTGGATAGAATAATTGGCAGTTTGCTTTTGTTTTTGGCATGGGTAATAGTTGGTTATGACAAAAGATGTTCAGCAAATCTTATGGCTCGCCTGGGACTGTGATTTATTTTTCTCCTTAGCATCAAGGTTGTGATTCTAAGTTATTTTTTACTTGTGACTTACTGCTATTGGCATTAGTTATGATGGATTGCTTTTGTTTGTTCTGTTTCTTTTTCTTTTGTAATGAGCATTTGTTTGCTTTCTGCATGTGCAAGGGGTTTTTGCTGCTTTAGGGTTTTAAGCTACATGGTTCTTCAGACCAAAGGGCAACAAGCCCTGACAGCAGTGGTCAAAATTCCTCTTCCAATCCGTGTACTATCTGCTTTTCCATTTGTGTGTCTGCACATTAATACTAGTCAGCATAGTATTTTAACTTTTCTCAAGGAATATGATATGGTTTCTCAGCAACTACAGCAGTTGGGAAATGGGGAAGATACCTGTCTAGAGGAAAGGCTTCTACCTAAACATAGGCTACAACTGATAGAGATTGGACTGTGGAAAGACCAACTGTATCTCCCTAAATGGGAAGGAGACAGTGACTGATGTAGATAGCCATGGCCAGTAGGTGTGGTTATTTTGTGGTTCTTGTTACATGCAAGGACTTTGGACAGAGAATAGAACTTGTCTGAATCATCCAAATGGGAAAATGCTTATAAGTTGTCTTTGAGAACATCTGGACATTCCTACTTTTTACAGTTGTGGCGATCTGATGAGTTGTTTCGTATATTTAGTCAGTCAGTGTCATCATTTGAGTGTATGTGCTTTCATTATTTGTGTTAGGTGGAAATATCTGGTGACAAGTTTTGTTTGTTGTCAGTTGATGTTTTTGTTTTAATTAATTTTCCATACTTTGTTGAAATCCCTTTATTCTAGGGGGGCCATTAGTATATCTGAGAGATTATCTTCAGGCACTTCTCCAGAAATGTGCTTGCAATTTAAATGCAATTGATTCCACTGCAAAATGTTCTTCTAATCAAATTCAGAAAAAAAAGAAAAATTAGACTTGCATCCTGTGGTATTTTAGCTAGTATCCTCTATTTTTTTATTGCTTAAATCTTTTGGATTAAAGACATTGATACAGGTTGACCCTCTGTAAACCAGAACTCTCTGGCAATATCTCTGGCCACAGCAGCTGGGAGTCCTGCAGCAGGAGTGCCAGCATCTAGGAGAATTGCTGGGCTGGTGGCAGTGGAGCAACCTGGCCAGATGCACCTGGCAGCCTGGCAGGGTTAGTGGCAGAGGTGCTGATAGGCCAGCTGGATCTGGGAACACTGCTGGGTCGGCAGCAGCGGGGCCAGTAGTCAGGAGAGGTGCTTGGGATTGGGAGCCAGCAGCCAGAAGGGGAGCCTGACAGCTGGGGGAAAGGCCGGCTACTATGGGGGTCAGTGTTTACATTTGTCAGCCAATGGTCTGTGTCTTTACCACTTGGACCGGGGTCCCATCGCAGAGGGCAGCCAACAGGCTGACAGACGCCCCAGAGTTTATAGGAAGAGCTTATTACATTTCAGATTTCAACTGCTAGGATACAGGATCCCTTTGCAGTAGGCAGTCTAGGGAAGACTGAGAGATGCCCCTGTCAGCCGACGGTCAGGGCAGTGTGTGCGTGTGTGTTACACCCAAGTCTTCAACTGCTGAGACACAAAGTCTCGTTGCAGTGGGCAGCCTAGGAGGCTGGAGGGTGCCCCGAAAAATAGTTTAACGTCTGTGACTTTACTGCTAGGACCGGGGTCCCATCGCAGAGGGCAGCCAACAGGCTCTCAGACGCCCCGAGTTTATAGGAAGTTATTACACCTTAGATTTCAGCTGCTAGAATTCGTAATTCCTTCACAGCGGGCGGGCAGCCTTGGGGAAAGACTGAAAGGG